TATATCTAGGTCTGGACGCATCTGGAGGCAAAGGCTCTACAGAGGCCTGTTCCCCGCCTGCACAGACGAGCTTCACCTGCCCTGTTGAAAAGCCCAGAAGTTACTAGGAGACAGCAGAAAGGACTTACCTATACACAACAAGCTTTTCTTTTACACAAAGTAAGCTTTCTTTTTTAATAGTGCGTATCATCAATATCTTTGCAGTATCTTCCTGAGCGTCACCTTTTGCCCCAAGACGCGTATTTTAAACTTCCCTATAACATCCTCACCTTCTTCATAAGCGTTTCCTTGCCCATCAGAGAGCACCAGAACCTACAGGCTATGTTTCCTGGCCGGACAGCAGCCAGGGACATTGTATGGTTTTTTTCCCCAGATTAAAGTTGGTTGAGGTGGGTATGTTTTCCGTTTATGGAGGCTCCTCAGTGGAATACAGATTGGCTTCCAGCCAGGCCAGAACTTCCGTACCTGTTCTCTTTCCCTGGTGAACATTTTGCTGTCTAAACTGGCAAGTTGACAGCATTTGCAAATTGTACTTTTCTGGAGCCGCCCCTCCCTGGCAGTCCTGGAGGATGGCTCTGCCGGGCCCTCATCACGGGCAGAGGCAGGATTTTAATTGTCCGGCTCTTGCTGTCAGTGACTGCCAGGCTGGTTTTCATGCAGTTCCCTAAATTCTCTGTTGCCTTTCCAACCTGGAGGATAGTGACAAATTACCGCATTCAGCCAGTCTGTGCTGTGTCCATGAGCATGTTTTCTGGAGCTACTTCAAATTTGGCCTGTGAAGGTGACCTCCAAGGGAACTGCTTTCATTCCAGAAATAGATGTGGCTGCCGACCTGAGACCCCCCCAAAAGGCTGTTTTTCCTGGGGTGACATCAGCTGCAAAAGCCTTGGTGGGGGCTGGCAGATGGCTGTGGCTCATGATGAATTGGGTGTCCCTTAGATTTTCCTGGGGCAAAGCCAAGATGGAGGCAGGCAGGCACTGCTTGGCTCTGTCCTCGGGGACAGAAAGGTTTATACTTTAAAACCCTCCCCTGTTCTCTGAACTCGAGTGAGGCTTCCCCTCTCAGACTGTGTGACCATGGATGCTTTTCCTTGTCTTCCCTGAACGTCCACATTTAGTCCCCCGCTTGCCCCAGGGCAGCAGGTTTGGCTTCAGTTGCCCTTGTGTTCACTTTGAGTTGGTTTTTCAGGCCTTCTCTCCAAACATCCTTTCATTTTAGCCAGGAGAGCAGTGTTCTGCCTTCCCGGGTTCGTGGATGGGAGCGTTTCATCCGACTGGCTCCTTTCCTTCCGTGACATATCTGGTGTTGAGGTCCTGTTCCTTCCTTCTCTGCCAAGAAGATAAAAACACTGCCGCAAACTCCGAGTCTGTCACCATGGAGTCATGTCGTAGGAGGACAGCAGTGGGAACATTTATGTTTTTCTTCCCAGATTAAAGTTGATTGGGGTTGTTATGTTTTGTGTAGAGTTTTGGAGGCGTTGCCCTTTCTCAGAACATCATGTGATTTAGTGTTGCTAATTAGGCAGAAACTTGTCTTCTGTACAGATGCCAAGATTATCCAGGGACTTACTCTCACCAGAGACCCGATGACAGCATCCACAGGCAGTTTCAGAGTGGGCTTCGTCCTTCGGTCTCCCCATTTCATTTTCTTTGCATCGCAGCCTGATTTCAAACTTACTTACTGGGCGAGGAAGGGGAAGGAGGGGCCCTTCTCCCTATTAATGAAAGTCACTGATGGGACGGGGCATTTTCGTATTTACTGTTAGTTGGCCTGTTGCCTAGTAACTGTAAAGTGATAGCTGTAATTCCCTTCAGCTGTGTGCTTCCTTGTCCTTCCAAGTTTTGCCTAATCTGATGTGTTTTTAAACTTAGCAGGGCATTAGCATATATACATGAACCTCACAGCTAACTAAAACATGTTACTTTGAACAATGTAAGAATGGTAGGAGCTTCATTGAAGTCTGTGTGACTTGTACCCAACCTAAGTATCATTAAGGTCCCATCTCAGTAGCTGCGCTCACTCCATGTGCTGCTCCCTCTGTTCTTTCGGTGCTTGGTGGAGTCAGATAAACGTGCCAACATCGAGCCCCCAAAGACTGGTCATAAATCTAAGGCAGATGAGGGGCCGCCTTCCTTACGACTGTTTTTCATCATAAGGTCTTCCTAATGAATGATGATTCCGGTTTTCCTCTTAGAAGGATAGTTGTGTTCTGTTTGACACTTACCTAGTTCCTGTATGTTTTCACGTTATTTTACAATGTATATGCCTTCCATCACAGAGAAAACAAGTCGCCTTTCTGTTCTGTGGAGGAGTTTTTGTATGAACTTTGTTTGAGAGCTGCCTCTCGGCCGGGACCTGGCCTGGGCCTCTGTGGCGTACCCTCCAGGCACAGGCGGTCCGAGTCCTGAGATGAGAAGCGTGTCTGTGAGACTCTGGGGCAGTTCCGGGACTTAGTGCCACAGGCGCTCCAAGTCCATTGTGCAGAAACGGAAAGTGATGTTCAGTGCATCTCCTCTTCAACCATGATGCTTCAGGAAGGTTCTGGACCTTCTGAAGAGGGGACGGGCCTTCGGCCTGGGGACCGTTGTTGGTTGTTGCTTTGGACTGCCCCGTGCAGGCCTCCCGTCCCTGGTTTCAGGGCTGACACCCTGCCCTGCCTAGAATGATGGCATATTGGGGGTTCTAGTGCCCTCTGCCTCCTTCCTTCCTGTGCTGAGGCAGCCCCAGCATCAGAGCAAGATGTGTGCTTGGCCTGTGTGTCTGTGGAAGAAGTGTGTCACCATCCTAGTTCCACAGCAGAATAATTAACACCGATGGGAACCGGGGGATAGGGTCTGAATCAGGTAATACTTCATCGCTTCTCCCTTGGCGCTCTCAGTAAGTCAGGATGGAGAGTTGGGGACCAAAGTCCCCTGATGACTAATTGCATAGTGATGTTAGGTTGTGGTTTATTAAGTGTTATTGTGAAGGAAAAAACCAAATCCCCTTCAAAGAACCCTCTCTGCACCCCTGTTCATCTGCGCCTCGGGTCCAGGGTAGAGGTGCTGGGACAGCACGGGCTCTCGAAGGCTCTGCTCCTTACAGATCCTGAGATCTGGTGTCTAGTTTAGCCTTTCTCCCTCTGAAATCAACAGGCCACTATTTTATGGTCCAGGATACATGGTCTCATATCCTTACAAAGCACAGCATAGCTCCAAAAAATGCATCGTCCTGGGAAACAAAATACTGGGGATAGGAGAAGGAGGGGCTTCTTTTCCTGCCTTGTCTCTGCTGCCAGCGAAACAACCTCAGCTCTGGTATTTAGAGCTATAACCAGAGTAGCCATGACCTCGGCTGTGTAACATGACCGACAAGGAGCGCCGCTCTCTTCCTGAACTTCGGGAGTGAAAGGTGAGACCGCCACCCAGTACAGCCTCAGCAGAGAGGAGGTCGCGGGTGGACTTGTGAAAATTCCGTGTGTGCCTCCCGATGCTATCTCCTCCGAAGAGGGGGAAGCAGATGTCCGTATATGTGTGAGAGAGCTTATTGATGCATTTTTCATTACTCGTTCACCTTATCTGGTGAGCAGATCGGGAGTTCGTGTTGCCTCACCACCACTTCTGTATCCATTTCTTGGCCCGGAGCCGTTTTTTCCTGCCCTGACAGCCGACACTGTCTCCGCGAACAAAAGGTCCTCTGTCCGGGGCCTGTCGTGTCCGTCCCTTTGGCTGCATCTCTACCAATATACAGTTGACCCTTGAACAACGTGGGTTTGAACTGCGCGGATCCAGTAATATGTGTATTTTTTTCAGTAAATATATTGGAAACATTTTTGGAGATTTGCTACAATTTGAAAAAACTTACAGATAGCCCAGAAATGGCAAAAAGAATTTAAAAGCTATGTCATGGGTACATAAAATACATGTGTATATTTTCTCTTCCTTATACTTTTCTTGATAACATTTTCTTTTCTCTAGCTGACTTTAAGAATACAGCATATAATACATATAACTTACAAGTTCTATGTTAATCTACTATTTATGTTACTGGCTTTTAGTAGGTAAGTTTCGGGGGAGTCAAAAGTCAAATGTGGATTTTTTACTGTGCCAGGGCTTTGGCACCCCTGAATTCCATATTGCTCAGGGGTCAGCCGTACTTTTTAAAAACCTCCTCTGACTTTTCCAGGCTCAGTGGTCACGTGGAGTCTGATAAGACCCGTGCGAGTGAGGTGCTCTGAGGGGCGCTCCCGTGTGCCTTAGCACCGAACACCTTTACAGGCGAAACAGCAATGTTCATTGTTCAAGGGTCGTTGTTTCACCAGAGGTGGTTTTTTGCCATATGTGTGTGTGACGTAATTTTTTTCCTCTGCAGATTTTAAATATAAAAAAACAAACTCCTAAGACAGCCCACCTATAGATTACTTCTTTTTTAGTGGGGGAAGTCGAGATGACCCCCAACCAGCAGTGTAGGCCTACTGAGCCTTGTGGGGAATGGCCGTTTCCTGTCCCCTGGGGCAGTAGTGGGAGGCGGGTGAGCAGAGTCAGTCGGTCCATGTAGCCGGTGGGAGAGAACCAGAGAGCACAGGCTCCTTTGCTTAGGGTGACCACCTCACTGGTTTTCACATAAAAGCCCAGTGTCCCAGGAAATCCCCGGTCCAGAAATCTAGAGCAGCACCCCACCTGCATCCTAGGAGCCCCTAACTCAAAAGGGCCCACGAACCCCCCCAATTTTGCTTCTTTTTTAATCTCCCAAAGTAAATGACCCCATTTCTTTTGAGCTTCTTTAACTTGACAGCATTTTGTAATCAAGCAGAGAAATAAGATAAGTTGACTTGCATGCTTTGTCCTTAGGCTCTGAGACCTTTGAAACTGGTGAGGCCAGAGCAGCGTTACTGGTGGTGCCTGTGGCGGGAGGCGGGGGAGGAGTCGGGAGGCCGATGACGTGTTGCTGCGAGGTGCCTGCCCCCTCTCGCCACTTGAATGTCCTTAACCGTCTCTGGTTTTCTTTTCTCCTCCTGTAGACCCTCAAACTGACACAAGACCTACAGAGAAAACCCTTTGCCAAATCTGCTCTCAACAAGTGGACAGTGATACTGTTTACAGCTTAACACCTTTGTGAACCCCATGCCATTTTCCTGACCCAGCAGAGACTGTTAATGGCCCCTTACCCCAGGTGAAGCACTTCCTTGGAACAGAACTCTGTATCTAAAGTATGCAAATCTTCCTTGTCCGGGGCCATGCGCCACCTGCCAGCCAAGGACAGCGTCCTGCCAGCACCGCACCGCCCACCCTCCGTCAGAGCACACCGTGAGCCCCCTTTGGCAATCGTGTGGTGTTTTCATATCGCAGTGGTTTATGGGATGTTTTGAGTGGTGTTTTGTGTTTGTTTTCCTTTGACTTTCCGAGTTTTTCACATGCATTAACTTGCGGTATTTTTCTGTTGATATGTTAACCATTCTTCCCCTGGCAGATTTAAAAACAGAAGGACACTGTACCAGTTACCATTTTGGCTTTGGGCATCACAGGGGTTTGAGCCGTGGAACTCCATAAACTAACAATTACATAAACTAGAGGGGGATGTTCTTTCTTCTTCTGTTCAGTAGAAAACTATCCTTGTCTAAGAACTGAACAATGGCACAACTGTTTGCTACGCCAACCAGGCCAGGACTGAACCTGCACGGGCAAAACGAATGGAACCCGGCCCCCCACTCAGAGTGTTTCAGTTCTGAGTCGGGGGCCTGGGGTGAGACCCCAGCACCTGGTCTGCGGTGGCCGGGTCTGTGGGCTTAGTGTCCTCCTGCCAGTCCCCTCAGCTAATGCAGGGATGCTGTGGTGGTTAGAAATGAGGATCTTTTCAGGAAGGAAATCAGCTCAGCTGTCCACTGATTGCCAAATGCCACTAAAAGATTTAGTTTTAGGGAGAAAAGGAAAAAGAGTTCTGTTTTACGTTGCAGAAAAAAATGAACTTGCAGGTGAGCACTAAGGCCACAGTGAGAAACCTGTGAAAAGTACAAACCCAAGTCAATGTGGAGGGAGTTCTAGGTTCACCGTTTTCCTAAAGACACACCCTGATTCTTTCAGCCTTGCTGTGTATAATCTGATCTACTAGATGTGAGTGAGAGGCAGTAGCATACAAACTGATTTTTTAATTATAATCTTAGATTGTAATTGTACCAGTGACACAATGGAGTACAAGATGGGGCAGTTTCGACTTTCCCCCCCTACTTTCCTGCTTCTATGGATTTCATTTTGTTTTGTTTTCAAAAAGTCACGGTGCTGTATAGGTGCTTTCTGTTTAACCTGGAACGTGTGATTATACTACTACCGTCTTCGGTAGACAGAATAGTTGGGAACAGCTTTGGTACATGTGAAACTGGTGTGACGATGCTCTGATTAGCACAGCATATGCATACTTCTCCAAAGTGATATATGAAGACTCTTTTCTTTGCATAAAATGCATTAGGCATATAAATGTATAAATATATGTTACCATGTACAGTACAAAAATGGAACATTCTGCATGGACGTTAGGAACACAGGCTAGTGCTTCAGCACAGACCTCCCTGCATGAGTTCTCGCTGGCGCTCGCACCGCGCAGTGGGCACCGGCTCCCTTCCACCAAGACAGACGTGCCGCCTGACCCCCTGCGCTCGCCACCGGCCCCCAGGGGCCCCCTCGTGCACCGTGCTTTATAATCCCTCCGGAGTAATATTGGTGGTGATGACAGCTCCTAGCATAACGAGAGTTCCATTCGGTATTGTCACACGCCTCTCCCGCCTCGCTTGGGTTGTCACGTTTGAGCGATGGCCCTGTTGATTTCATCCTGCCTTCTGCTGAACCTGTAAATTGTTGTGCAGTTGTGGTTAGAGTAGACACGTAGCGTATCGCCTTTCTAAACTGCTACAAGTTTATAATTTTCATTTTTAAAGTATGTATAATTTTTTAAATATATATTCTATTCACATGGTCTGCTTGTCAGTGAGACAAACTTTTGCTTACTATATTTCTTTATATGATGCTAGCCACTTCCTTGATTCTTTGGTAGCCTGCTTCATACAAGAACTGTCCAGTATCGGCGAGAGGGCTGCCTCTCTGGGTACCTAAGCAATGTTGCCCTGAATGGGGTTGTAGTTCAGAGTCAGCAGCAGCAGCCTGTGGAGATGGGGGGTATTGGATACAAAGGAGAATCCAGAGTGCTTCCAACAGGAGGGCGCTGAGAGTTTCTCTCCTAAGCTCAAAGAAATGAGCAAACTAACAAACTAGCTTTTTGCTTTTACAGTTAGTTTTATAGATCCTGGGAGCTACTTCGGGAGTAAGAAAGGCAACCAGCCCTCAAATGTTTTCAACGTTAAATGTTGCATTCCTTTCAGACATGTGACATCTCGTTTATTCTCTCCCCCACCCCCAGTATTTGTTGGATTTCAGGCAGAATGTCTTACAAAATGTTCCAGAATCAGATTATAATTTAAAGGACCTGAGGGAGGGACTGACTAAATATGAGAGCAGGGCAGCCGCAGGACAGGAAAATGGAGGGGAAGAGGTGCTTTGAATTTTTTTTTAAGATTTTACTTATTTACTTTTAGAGAGGCGAAGAGAAGGAGAGAAACATCAATGCATCACTGCCTTTTGAGCACCCCTCACCCCACCCCCACCCCCCACCCCCCCAACACTTGGGACCTGGCCTGCAACCCAGGCATGTGCCCTGACTGGGAATTGAACCAGCAACACTTTGGTTCACAGGCTGGCAGTCAATCCACTGAGCCACACCAGCCAGGTGATTTTTTTCTTTTTCTTTTTAAATAACAGCATCTCCATATAGAGAGTTGTGGAGCACTGAGGTCAGGGTGAAGTCAGGTGCCAGCATCAGTCCCAGGAGGGGTCCGAATGGAACAGTTAGGCTCGTGCAGGATCATAGCAGCCCCTCCGTTGTCCTTGGCTCTGCTCGACTGGCCTCCCACCCACAGGCCAGGTTCTGAAGTGGGCGCACTAGACAGAGGTTCGCCCTGAGCCCTCTGCTGCCCATACTGAGATCTGCTTTCAGGAAGGACCACCTGTTAGCCACCATGTGGAGTCCTGAGTGTCATGGGTTCCTCAAAGTAAGTTTCTGATCGGGCACATCTCGGCAGAATGCTTAGTAGCTTCTGGGGCCTGGCTGCCCTCGTGTTTGCATTCGGAAGAGAACTGCCTGAGGCAGCCCTTGGCCTCAAAACAAGCTGCTGCAGGGAGCCTTCCACTTTCTGATGGGACATTGGAAGGTTGACTGATATGGGAAGCATGACACGTCATAGGCTTTTGCTGTCCTGGTGCAGGCCCTGACCACCGGGTTCCGTGTACCCCGTTAACTGTGAGTGATGCTGAGGTCCGTCTCCTGTAAGCGCATCCTCTGTAATACAGTGATGGCTGAAACACATGTTTAAAAACTTCAGGAGTTTCTTTCCTGTCAACGGGAATGCCATGCATACATACAGGCAGACTCTGTGTGTTCGGGGTTGGGTTTGGGCCTCGCCTGTGTGTCACTTCCCCTCCCCGGGGAGAGGACCTCTGGGCTCGCTGCTCAGGACAGACATGCCCACTCTCAGGGTGTCATCTCAGGTGGTCTCCAAACCTGTCAAAGACGGTAGGCACAGACTTCACCGCTGCCTAATGGACCCTCCACTTAAAGAATAAGGAACCTTTGAACCTCACGACTGTTGAGAGAAAAGAAGCCAAGCAGCCCCTTCCATTGGAGCACTGAAAGCCACGGCTGGTGGGGGGAAATACAAATGTTATCCCCGGCTCGAATGCAGAAGCAACACCCTGGCAGCTCTGAACTCTGATTTCCTTCTTCTGGCTGTATTTGGGGAACATTGTATGATTAGGCATAATGTTATTTTTTTTAATTGACAAAAGCAAAATTTTTGACAGAAATGCAATCACTGGCTCAGAGGTACAGAGAAGCCAGCCTCTCCTGGAGCTCGGGGGAGGCGGGGCCCTGAAGGGAAGGAAGTCCTCCTGAAGCCCCGTCTGTCAGACAGGACCTCAAAGCGGATGCCCACGAAATGAAGAAGAGTGTATTCTTTTTTATCCAGGTCTTTCATGGGTAACATTTTATGCATTCTGAGTGAATGAAATATTTTCCTCTTGTCTAATCTTATTTGTATTTTTCTTTGACAAATGATTGGTGATGAGGCCTCTACCACACTTCAGAAGTATTTGTGTGGCTGCTTTTAAAAATTGCTTGTCTGGTCACTTATTTCTCTAAAATTATCTCATTGCCTGGCAATCAGTCTTCTCTCGGATACTTGTCTGAGCACATCATTTATGTACATGGGAAATGTAAACAGGTGTGAAGGAGGACCAGAAAAATTAGTTCATATTTTCAAAAATGTATTGTGCATTTTGGCTTCACACGTTGAACTTTTTTAAGAAAAAAAGTTGCATGAATGGGGGGAAAATCTGTATACAGTATCTGTAAAACAGTCTTATCTGTTTCAGTTTCTTGCTCATACCCCACACAACTAGAATTAAATCCGGTGCATGGCCACATTCCAACACCCACGAGTCGAGCAGTCAGTGCCCTGGTTCGAAGCGCCTCATCCTCCCTTCAAAGTGGATACTATCATTGCATTTTTATTGAGGATTTTGTCCAACCCTATGTTGCCATGAATTAACTCTACCGACTTTCTTTTCAAGAATCAAAGCCAGTTTGATTTGGGAATCTTCCCCTTTCCAAATGAAATAGAGATGCAGTACTTAACTTTCCTTGGTGTTTGTAGATATTGCCTTGTGTATTCCATTTAAAGCAGTAACCTAGTTTGTAAAAGAGATGGTGACGCATGTAAATAAAGCATCAATGAACACTCTGTCATACTCCTAGAAGTCTTTTGTTCCCCCTCCCCCTTTCTTTAACCCCAGAGGCGAAGGGAGTTGATCTCTGGGTCCGCCCCTGGAAGGCCTTCCCAGCCGTGCCGGGGGAGGCACGAGGCTGAGCGGCTCTGTCATGACATCTCGAGCTCAGCAAAGCTAACGAACTTTTTCTCTGGCTCCCTTTTGACCTCCACAGATTACCGATTGAATAAAAGCAGATTTGCGGCGTAGTTCACAGCGGCTGGTGGTGGCTGGTGGTGTTCGCCGAGTCACATGGCCTGGAGGGGCTGTTATGTGGGGAGGCAAGTTTTAGATTCTCCGCCTTCAGCATGTCGGAGGTTTTGAACTGTCAAAGTTTTGGCCTTAACAAGAGTCCTGACGTGGGCCTAGCCAGTCAGCATCGGTCATGGACAGTGCCCACCTGCGTATTGAAAGTCAAACACAATCCTTCAGGCATCTGGTGAGGACAGCATAAATATCCCCTCTATGTAAGTGTGGGGGGGCTCTCAGTCAAGTTAAGGGGACTCCGCCCTATCGTACAACTATTTCTAGTAGCCTGGGTTATGTTTTTTGATAGACATGTTATCAAAATTATCTAGCTTTTAGAAACCCCCTAGGATTGGTTTCAGAATCCCAAGCCCACATGATGGATTCTTAGATCAGTGAGGTAAAAAAGATACCGAAGTTTATTGTTGGGATAACATCTACATTGGTGCAGACATGCCTCCATTGGGTGGTCCTTACCATTCTTTTAATGACCCGTGCAGGCACAGCCTCACCATCTTCTAAATCCAAGCCAACTGGGAGAACATTTCATTTGAGATTGCTTCCCAATTTTGATTGTCTTTCTAAAGGTTAAAGATGGAAATTCAACATTAGCTATCACAAGCTTCTCAGTAGAGAATGCTCCCAAACCAGGTAAAGACTAAACTAATCAGAGTTTTAACAATCAACACTTACTGAGTTGATCTCAAGTGTGCCATGGGCCAGACCCTGTGTGCTGGGCGCCAGGAGAACTAGGACCTGGGCCCCGCCCTCCGGGGGGTCATATTCAGGGGTCATATGTGCGCCCCGCTGCTCCTCCAGGAATAAAGAACCGGTTCTGACTGACTCCTGCCCCTGCGCCTCTTTCATGTTTGAGAGAAGAAGAATGCGGGCTAATCTCTACTTCAGGGATTTGATTTTGCAGATTTCACCTAACGAAAGCAAACCTTTAAACCAGCGAATGTGATGTGTATCAGCCAAGTAAGTCACCCACACCAAGCTGGAACATGGCAGTGAAGCGGGGAGGAAGGTGGAGTCCTGTCCTGCCATACAGGACGTGGAAAGGTAGGGATGGTTACTGGCAGCTGTGGGAGGGGCCTGTGGTGGGGACCAGCAGGGACTCTGCATGCAGCGAGGAGGTGGAGAGGGGAGCGGTTGGGAAGGGCCCACCCACTCCAGCTCTGCCCCCCTCTTCGTCAGAGGGAAGCAACGGTGCAGGCCTCCGAGACCTAGACACACTTGGAACTGGAAGAAGAGGGGTCCTAGCCCCTGGGTTTTTCTCCTCTCTTAGGAGAAGACTATTAGAATTTAAGACCCAAAGCTGTCAGAGGTGTGTGCTCATGCACACGCCTGCCCTGTCCCTGTCCCAGAGTGATGGCTCAAACCTTGCGTTCTTGCCTCCTTCCTCTGAGGACTTGCCGTGAACAGTACAAACATCACCATTCCCACTCGGGGAAGAAGAATCTCAATATTCTTCTTATATGGGTGCAGGCCCTCTTCTGTGACTCCTCCGTTCATCCCATCAGTGCCTACTACATGCTGCGCCCCATTATGACCCAGGAAGGCAGGCCGGGGGCTGGAGGCCTGCTGGCACGAGTTCTTGAGTGAGTGGATCCTGTGAATGCTGCCATGCGTTTGGTGGCGGAACAGAGGAATCGACCCCCAGGTAGCACCGAGGAAGTGAACGTTGGAACAGAAAGGCAGAAACAGGCTGGGCCTTTCCAGCTGCAGCGATGAATCTCAGGGATAAAGGCAGGAGGCAGGAAAGACTGGAACGTATTCAGGAAACAGTGAGCTTGTTGGGCCTTCAAGAGTCAGAGGAAACAGGTAAGAAGTCAGTCAAGAGGGAGAAGCTGCCAGAGGTTTCCAGACCAGCTTGCTCAGAGTCCGCCCGGAGAAGCCAGTGGGACAGAGACCTGATCGGAGTGGGCTCCTGGGAAGGGCCCTCGGCCCGCTGTGGAGGTGGATGTTGAGGAAATGAGAAGTCATGGTTATTCTAGAACTATTTTTGTAGCATATTAGCCACAGAAAATGATGATGTTTATATGGCACACCATATAAACACATGAATAAGTTGCTCCAGGTCTCAGCCCTGCAGGCTGCCCCCACAGCTGGGGAATCCAGAACTCAGCACCCCTGTAACTTTCCAGGCAAGTTCCAAAGTCCCTATCTAGAGGAAACACACACACACGCACGCACGCACGCGCGCACACACGAAACCTGGTAATGGTGAAGGCTGGGAGACAGAGCAGAGACTTGACCGTTCAGTTCCACCTGGTGTACTATGTTAATTTACCAAAGTGGGAGTGTGTTACTTTCATAAATGCAGTTTTGAAAAAGCGGAAGTGGGGAGGCTAGCTTTTACTCCGCCTCTACTGAGACTGGAGGGGGTAAGGAGCGATGGGAAAGAGTGGAGGTCACGAGCAAACTCCATCCTCTGTCTACAAACAAGGAACCTGGAGGACAAACAGTATTGCACAGTTGTGCCCTCACAACTCAGTTTCCTTGGTTGTCTAATGTTAACATCTTGATTATCATAGTGTAGGAAATACCTAATCAGAACAAAGAAATACATGTCTATTAAAACAGTAATTCTGAAAACCATTCGCATAGGAAATACTCATATTGTTTACACTTTTAGAAGTCTAATTTTCTACTGCTCTTACAACCTTATATATTGATATAAAAAGAATAAAAAGCAGGATGGAAATAGAGCACCCTGTGTAAACTGTGGCTGGAGAGAGGTACTAAGAGGTAAAGTGCAAAAATAGAAATAATTGTTGTGTCCTGGACACTTTGGGCTTTTTAACACTGGACTCAGGACCTCAGTGTTGCTGCCATGAATGATCTGTAACTATTCCTCAGTCGTTCTGTCCACATTCAAAGTCAGAGCGCTGGAGCCACCTGCTGCCCAGCCCCAGCTGGTAGGGGCATCAGTAGCCATGGCCCACCCTGGTAGGGGAGCAGAGGCTCCCTCCGACCAAGATGCACCCACTGGGTAACTTCCCTGGGTAGGAAAGGGGTGCTTGCATGGGACATATCCATTATAGTCTAGCAGTTGGATTATGGAATATTTTTCAGAAGTATCTTCATTTTGCTGCACTGTGTTTTTAATATTTTGAAAGCTAATAATGCCTTCACATGATTCAAAAGCCAGAAAGCATATAGATACACTCAGGGAATGTTCCCTTCCCATCCCTGTCTAGTTCTCCAGTTCCTCCCACTCCAAAGTTTCTTGTGTATCCTTCCAGAATTTCTCATACACCTACAATCAATAAAAATGCAGATTCTAATTCCCCCCCCTTTATTACACAAACAGTATAATACACCCTGTGCATTACAGCATCATACACCCTGTGGGGCATCTTGCTTTACTGATGATTTCCTCACATATGGAGGAGATGCTTCTCTAGTTGTGTGGTGTTCCGCTGTGCTAATGTGTCGTACTTCGTTTAACCAGTGGGTCCCTACGGATAGATAAGAACACTGAATTGTTTACTTAAACATTTGTTGTTATTGGCAACACTGCAGTAAATAACTTTATATTACATACACATGCAAGAATCTGTAGGGTTTGGTGCTCAGATGTGGAATTGCTGGGTCAGGGGGTGTATGTACAATTCCAGTTTTGATAGAGATCGCCCAGATTGCCCTCCAGTGTACCAACTCACAACACCAACACAGTATGAGAATCTCTGACTTCCCACAGCCTCATAATTTTAATGTTTTAAAAGTGAAATTGCAAGTCCGTTTCTTTTCCCAGCCCCTCTCTCTGAGCTCCTTTGTTTTAAGGTAGTGAGGGCCTGGTGAGAGTGAGGGGTGGGGGGTGGGAGGGGCCGAGGAGGTGGACTCAGTAGCTGGGCGCTGCTAGGGACGGAGGAGGAGCCCTGGGCACTCAAAGTTGAACGCCCATCCCTGTGCCAGCACGTAGAGGAGACCTGCTGCCAACCTGTCCATCCCGTCTGGCCTCAGGCTCCTCCCCTCACGCCACCGGCTTGGACCGCCCAGCCTCAGGGTCAGCGGCCCGACCTCACAGCTGCACTCCCTCACCTCCCAGAATTCCAGAGGGGAGTTGTCACCCAAAGGAAACAAGTCTGGTCTCTTTGGCACCAAACCACACACCTAGACCTATTCATAGCAAGATTGCACAACCAGCTGGAGGGTGGCCCGGCTGGGCATGGGGAGGGCTGTGCTGCCCCTGGGCAGCTTCCAGTTTGCTGAACAGGGCTGTTCCCTGGGGGCTCGGGGACCTGAGGGCCCACTGGCTTCTCCCCCAAAGTGGGGGAAACGTGCTCCTCTAAAGAAAAAACTAGCACTCCACAAGGCAGCCTTCTGCCGTGCCATTCTGGTTGGCAGCTGGGGTAGAGGAGGGCCTCTCGTTAGCGAACACAGAAACCAAGAGGGGCTGTGACAGAAGAGGAAACCGAGTCATCTCACTGAGAAGCCCTTTGTGTGTCTGTGGGGGGCCAGCATCATGCACTGTGGGAGGGAAACGCAGCTTTGGAACGAGACCTGGGTTTGAACCCAGCCTTGCCACGGGCCAGGCCACCTGTGAAGTGGGAGCGAGGCTGCCAGGACTGCGGGTTGCGAGGGTCTCCTGAGCTCCCCGGAAGCACTGCACACCCCAGCAAGTTCACGGCTAGCCCTCTCCCAAGTCTTCTCAGGCCTTTGTACACAACCGTGGGCCCACACATTGGGGGTGTTGGCTTTTCATCATATAAGAGCATCAAGT